GATATTTTTTATAAGACTATTGGGAAGAATATTCAAATTGGGACTGTCCCAAAAGATCCTTTCAAAGTGTAAAATTCAGCAGTAGATTTCAAAGTAATGGCACAGCCTATTGGTAAGGCTTCAAACTCCAGAAAACCTTTAACAAACCCCACTAACTGAGTCTGAGTAGAATATCAAAGAAGAATATCCACCCTKATCTGAAAAGTCCATTAAAATAGTCCTCCCTTTTCTAACAACATGTCCATGTGAGGCTAGGTTTTTTTCTGCAGACCACCCCCCTTCCCGCCACAACAGCTTGCAACAGGTTGAATGGAGAAGAGGGCAAATTCAATAAAAGGGAGAGGAAATAAAGTTAAAATCTCCTCCAGAAAAAACAGAACAGTAAATAAGAAGATGGTTTAAAGAAGAGGATGAATAAGAAAAATTTGAGACTTAGATCCGGAGATCCCAAATGGGAATAACATGACCTTCCACAATGTGGGGGCGGAAGCATCTAAGACAGGAGCCAGGAACAGAGGCTTTTAAGCTTTTTGGTCCTAGGATCTGTTACATGTTTAAAAATGATTAAAGACACCCCAAAAGCTGCTTTCGTTTGTTTTTTTAATGTTTTGTTTACCATGTTAGAAACTAAAACTGAGAAATTGTTAAAGCTTCAGTTTGTGTAATAATACATTAAACCCACATGTTTAAGGAAAGTAATTTTACTACTTTTTTTTCACAGTGTTGATGTGTTTTGKAATTGTTTTACATTTTCACAAATCACCTTACTCTGACCTAAGAGGACACAGAATTCTCATATCCACGCCTACTTTCAGTCTTGTCCTAATATAGAACATCGAATAGCCTCTGGAAGAAGCCTTTGTACTCTTTTGATGGAGGGAAAGTAAAAAACCCAATAGCATYTCAGCATTTTTATGAAATAGTATCCTGTGTTCTTCCTGAGGCAGGGTCCCTGGACCACACTTGGAGATCAAGATCTGTTCCCACATGCTTGAATTGACCCAGTATGTGAACAGGACCCACTCTAAAGCCCACCAACTCAAAGCTTCAGAATAACATTAACAAAGACATGATTCTAAAAGCTTCCAGAACTGAAAAACAAAAAACAGGTCATRTGGAATCTTGATGGGGCATCAGAATGATAGTGGACTCTCAGTAGCACTGTTGGAATTTACAAGGCAACAGACAGCCCTTTGAATGCTCAGAGAAAATGACTTCCAACCAAGAATTCTTTTTTTTTTCTTTTTTTTTTTTTTAACCAGGGATTGAACCCAGGGATGCSTAACCCCTGAGCCACATCCCCAGCCCTTTTTACATTTTATTTAGAGGCAAGATCTTGCTGGGTTGCTTAGGGCCTCACTAAGTTGCTAAATTGTCTCAGCTTGAGCCACTGGGATTACATGTGTGCACCACCATGCCCAACTCCAACCAAAAATTCTGTATCCACTGACATCATGCACCAGTGTGAAGAGAGGAACATGTTGAAACAGGAAGAGTCCCAGAAAACTGTCCTCCTTTTACCTTTCTCAGAAAGCTGCTGGGTATTGTCACCTCTCAAAAGCAGGGATACATAGGAACTGGCCCCTAAGAAGCAAGGATCCAGCACAGGAGATAGGCYGCAGACATCGTCAGGAGGCTGTTGGTGAGCATGTCCAGCAGYTGGAAGAAGAGCATGTGCAGGACAGGGCAGGCTGTGGGCTCCAGGAGGGAGACCACAGGAAAGACGAGTAACCGGTGGGCTGTTGGATGTTCTGTCCCAGTGGGTGAGATTTATACTGCTGGCCCACTGATGAAAATCATTGGTGCGTACTTTGAAAACAAAGCAAAAGCAAAAAAAGGAGAGAATTTTAATWCCAGGGAAAACATGGTTCTACAAGAAGGAAAAGAGATCCTGGTGTCTGCCAAGAGATTAAACTGGGAAAACTRTTTCCATAGTCTTAAAGATACAAATTCAGACATTTAATCTCATGAAGCTACAAAAGAGAACTGATGGAAATGATGGCAGGAGGAGAAGTTTGGGGAAAATAATATAAGCAAGAAATAGCTGCAACTGAAAAATAATGGAAATCCACTCTTAATATCCATAGAAATAGGGGTGTGCCTAGCAGGAGTAGCTGAAGGGTTGAAAATGTTCTCTGCAGTGGCCCATCAAGAATGAGAAGCACAGGGGCTGGGGATGTGGCTCAAGCGGTAGCGCGCTCGCCTGGCATGCGTGCGGCCCAGGTTCGATCCTCAGCACCACATACAAACAAAGATGTTGTGTCCGCCAATAACTAAAAAATAAATATTAAAAATTAAAAAAAAAAAAAAGAATGAGAAGCACAAAGCAACAAAGTGTTTCTATCCTAATTCCTATAGAACTCTTTTTTAACTTTTATTAAAATTCAATGTACTATGTATGACATTAGCAAAGATATAATGTCATACATAGTATATTAAAACAAATATTCAGCATATTAAATTACATATTAATACAATTTAAATGGAGTGCAATTTGGAAGTGTGATAATATTTATACTGAGAATGACCTTTGACCCAGCAATTCCCCTTACAGAATTTTATCAGACATTGGAAGATTAATTAAATGAATTATGGCATAGCCACAAAATGAAAGACTGAGCAGTTACTTAAACTAATGACACTGTCACTAAAAATTAATATAAATTTATATTTGAGGAGAGTGATTTTCTCCCCTGGCATGTCTCAGTTGTTAGTGTGATTTGTCACTGAACGTCTGACTTCCAGTGCATGGGAAGCTCTAGAGATCAGGCACCATATGTCATTATGCTCACTGGTGTGTTCTGAGGGCCTGGCCCTACACCGGGTACCCAGGCAGTTATTTGATAAATGAGTGAGTGTTTGTGAGCATTTGTGCAGCCAAAGACAAAAGTCTAGAAAACTGAAATTTTAGGCAGGGCTTATCTCTGGTGGGAGTTTCCCAAACTGTGTTTAAATCCTTGCTCTGCTATGCCTTTGGACAAGCCCCTTATCTAATTCTTTCATACAAATGGCAGAAGGCCTTCAGTTATCCAGTTCTATGATTCCKTGTAAATGCATTAGAAATGTTTAAAATTTTAAGTTTGTAAAATGCCCTCAACCAGAAGACTCCATCTAATCCTTCCTGGGTTTTTGTTTGTTTGTTTGTTTAAAGTGAACTTCTGCAAGATTTGGAAAACTGTGAAAATGATCCTGTGGCCATCGCGGAATGTTTTGTGTCCAAGGTAAGCAGGTCTCATTTCTCTGGGCCAGCCAAGGCAGATAGTGTGGACTGTTTCCATTTTAAAGTTAGAATGGCWGGTTCGTTCCATGCGGGATGCAGTTGGACACTCTTCCCCCCCCCCCATTTGTTTCAGTAGGAAAGRAAAAAAAAACACTGCTATGGGAAGAGGAAGAGGCTGACTTAGTAGTTGTCCTGGAACTTGCGCAGTAACTGGAGAATGTTACTCTTTCCCAGGAAAGACTTGAAGCTTGAAGGAGGAGAGTCTAGAGTAGAAAAATGTTAGAAAAATAAATACGTATAACATACCACTAAATCACTTATAAAAATACATTAGAATCTAAATGTTTTGTATGAAATAAGTGTGGTACTAGCCTGGTCTCTATAATTATCTTTTTTAAAAATATTTTTTAATTGTCAATGAACTTTATTTTATTTATTTATATGCAGTACTGAGAATCGAACCCAGCRCCTTGCACATGCTTGGCAAGAACTATACCACTGAGCCACAACCCCAGCCCTTGTAATTATCTTTTATGGGATTAAAAAGCAGCAGAGTGATTTCCTACACCTTAAAATGCACTCATTTTCCTATATTTTTCTTAAGCGCTGTTAATGCTTAGGAAAACACTGGGAGCAGATTTGACTTAAAGCTTACCCAGCAGTGAGCTCAGGCTCTGAACTTGGAAGGAGAGCATGCTCCGAAACATGCCCAGCAGCCCTTGACTGTGTTTCTTTCTCAACATGCTACCTGGTAGAGATAGAAACCTATCTTGTTTAAGTTTCTCTTAAAAATTCAACAGCTTTTGTTTGGAAAACCTCTGGCAGAAACTGTGTTTCAGCAAAAGTTTGTGTGGTTTCTACAGTTGTGTAAAGGTTTGAAATGTACAAAGGTTTAAGCAAAGTTCATGAAGGTGCTTGGAGACCAGTGGTGAATTAGCACCTCATTGGGAGCCTCAAGTCCAATGTGAACTTGGGATGTTGTCCCAGCCTGACCTGGCTCCAGACTTGTTCCACAAGGTCATTTCTGTTGACTGTAGATCCTTCCAGATGGCTTTGAATTCAAACATAACACCCTGTTGAAGTTCTGTAAAGACCACTGATGATCTTGTGTGTAAATTCTCCTGCCTTTGCATGTATCTGTGTGTGTTCATGTGTAACATGTTGTACACACATGCTTAAACACACAGATACTCTTCAAAGTTTCCAGGGTCATAATTGATTCTCCAAAAGGTAGGAATTTTAAAAAGAGGAAAAAAAATGGAAAGGAGAGAAATGGTAACAAGATAGTCTGAGTATATCAAAGGAGATATGTTAAAATAACCGCAGCACATAAACAACATAGAAGCTCTCGGAAACATTTGGCTTTTACTGGTAACTGTAATCACAAACTGATTAAAGATGTTCCAGCATATGCTTAGCTCTGGCTTAATTATTCACATAAAAGTTTGTTTATGTGCCTCCTTGCCAACTCCCAAATCTTATTTTTCATTGTAACATTGCCAAGTTCAATTAGAAGACTGACTTCAGCTCTCCACACTTGCACGTGGAAGCAGGGAATCGTGAAGTTCTGGCATAACCTGCTTTTCACTCAACACTTTGAAATTTAGAAGATGTTACGTTCTCTGAAACCCCACCAGCTGCTCCTCTCTGGGAGGAATGGAAAATTGTTTTAATTGAGAGGTCATTAACGACCGAGGTAAAGCTGGCGGTTGACTTCTGCTTTTATCTGGATCACTGGGGATTGATGKAGATTCATCTTTGACCTGGCTTACCTTTGTGGTATGCATAAGTTAAGGAAATTCTGGCCGACCCAAGAAGAATACAGTGGCTTTTTACCAACTGCTCCTACAAGAATAAGGAGYGGGCAGTTCTCTTGAGGGATAGAAATAAAAGTTCCCTATCGGCCACCCAGTCCTGCTCCCATGAATACTGGTCTGCTCTTAGGGATCTGGAGACACCTGGAAGGGCTCCTGCCTTCACCTCTGCCCCGGTGCCCCTCCCTCATCTTGACTCTCAGCAGAGCTGGCCCCGGGCAACATAGGAAGGGACAGTATGTCTTGAGAGCCCACCTTACCCTTAGCCACTTCCTCTCCCTGGCTGCCCAGCCCCCCTCCCTTAGTGCCTTCCTCCTTTCAGAGCCAAGGTAAACAAGCACACAGGTATACACATACACGTGAACATGTGTGTGCACACGTACACACACCCTGCCCCTGTATTATCCTCAAGAAGGTGCTGATACTTGATATCTGTACCATTAGAGTGTTACCTTCCTGGGTGCTGTCTGCATACCAAGCCTTCTCRTAAGGTCCAGGAAAACCTCCCAGAATCTGAGAGTGTGAGGGAGAGGAGTCTGCAGCGGAAGAAGCCCTAAAATCTGGTTACCTGTCCAGTCACCCTTTGTCCTGTTCGCTCTGTTGGACAGCCCTGACTATCAGATGCTTTGGCTCTTTGTACACTGTCTCATTTCTGATCATCTCAATTTGAAAGAATTGAATAACTAGAAATCAATATCTATTTTTTTTCTAATTTGTGTAATGTATACCCCTACATACATTTAAAAAAGGATTGGGGTGGCATACATGGTAAACTATGGCATTTAAGTATTAACAGACCCAGGAGCTACTGCTTTTTGTGTAAAACCATTATTGACAAGGTCCACAGAGCTTTATAAATCTAAGATTCAAACCTGTATTTGATTCTCCAATAAGGCTATATTGTTGATGTCAATCAGAACTCTCTAATACATGATAGGAATATAGCCACAGTATCACAAAACACGATTGTGCAGAAGTCTTCAGGCCTTACTAAGGCTGTGCGTACATAGAATGCATATTTCCATTGAGGCCATTATGTTTTAATTTGGCATTTCAAATGATCCTAAAGATCCCCAAACACAAGGAAAGGCAGCTTGATCTTGCTCAATCCCAGGTTGAGTAGAGCAGGGAGCAGGAAAGAACAGGAAACTTGGAGAGTGTGAGCAAATCCAGAGAAAAGCTCCAGTCTGATGTATACTTCCTAAAGGACCTTGGGCAGGTCAATGCCTTTCTCAACCCTGGGAGCCAGGGCTGGCTTCAGGTGCCACCAGGTGAACTTGAGGGCCCAGGTGGAGGCTAAGGCAATCCAGRTACTTGCTTGGTCTCATGGGATAGTATTCGTCATGTGAAACTCGAGGCCCTTTGCCCATGGATTCTACTCTTAGGAGACACCAGAAACTGGGATATTTATATTTTCCAGTGTTTTAAAGTTGACAACTAATTTGGATTTTTAAACAGTATTATGCCTGAACATTTAGTATCATGCTTAAAATTTAGTCAACAAGGCCATGGAGAAACAGATGCTTTCACAACTGTGCCAAAGCAAAATGGCACAGACACTATGGTGAAGGATGTAGTTCAACATTACCCTGTTGCCTGCTAATTCTGCTTTCAAAGATCTACTCCAAGGATCAATTGAAAAGATTCATTAGGAATGATGCTATTCTTTGCAGTAATGTTTGTTAYCAAAAAAGACTGGAAACAGGCCACATGTTCCCAAACAAGAATCTGGTTGAATAAACCAGAATACATCCATGTGATGGAGTACCGTGAAGCATAAAAACAAAATAAGAATTGAAGAGGGAGTGGGTAAAAGTGTGTAGGGCACCGTGGTTCTCAAAGTGTGATCCTGGCACYTCAGGGAACTTGTGACACATGTGAATTCTCAGGCCTCCATCCCGGATCTACCAAGTTAGAAACTCCAGTGAAGGGACCCAGCCATCAGCTCAAGCCCTCCAGGGGACTCTGRTGCCCACTCGAGTTTGAGCATCACTAGTGTAACATAATTTGTTTATCCACAAAGGGGGGATATGCCTGTTTAGAAACAGGATAACCTAWAAGATTAAAATAGGAGATAGGAGAGAATAGAATGGAGAAGAATAGAGGTTAGACTTCTTTTAATGTATTTCTTTGTTGGGTTGACTTTGAAAAAATGTACATATTTTGGTTATTTAAAAAAAAAAGGTAAAAGTTTGAAGATACAATCTTCAGAAACTGAGAGCAAATGAAGCACATGCGACTAACCATGTGTCAGGTTGGTGGCGTGACCATGCAGAGGGAATTCCGATTGGTTTGAAAGGATGTTCTGGACAGAACTCGGCACATACATCTTTAACTGTTTTYGTGATGATTCTATTTATCATGATGTTACAATTGTTATTCTGAAATTATTGAGCGTGTCATGGAATAAAGCAAAAAAGTATTTATGTTAGTGCCATTGAGAACAGGAATTGCTAAGGAAAAGGAAAATACAGACACAAGAGCACTTGAGGCTAATTTAAAATGCTGTACTCCTGAATTTGAATGGGAGCTTGAGTAGCCCTTAGCTGAAATACTTGGGACCAGAAGTATTTCAGTATCAAATTTGGGGGAGGATATTTTGAAATATTTACATGTACTAAATGATATATCTTGGGGATAGGCCCCACATCCAAATGCAAAATTCATTTGTATTTCATGTTCACCTCATTGAGGGTTATTTTATACAGCATTTTTAGTGTACTTGCATCTTGACTGCCATAAGTTACCAAAGGTCAGGTGTGGAATTATCCACCTGGGKTATCATGATGAGGCTCAGAAAGTTTCAGATTTTGGAGCATTTTGAATTTCCAGATTACAGATACTCAACCTGTACCAGTATGTACTAAGGATGTATTTTATCCTTTAAAAAAATCATCATATTTTTTAACCCTRTCCACTGAAAAGCCCTAATGACTAACTCAGTAGCAATAGCATCCCTAAAACCCAAATTATGGTCTTCAAATACTATTTGCCACCCAAGAATCAGGGCTCAGTGGAGCCTGAGTGTTTGGTAGACAATACACAAGACTTTCCATGATAATRATGGTCCGGGCATCTTGTCCCACCAGGAAACACAGAAGCTATGGAAGAGAATAGGAGTGCTCAAAGAACAATGTTCAAAAGAGGCTCTGTCAACAAAAGATGGGATTGTTGGAGTGTCAGCAAAGACAATGGAAAATGGTCAAAACTCATTAAATGTTTATGAATTTACAGTGGTATTAAAAAAAAAAAAACTGGTCACCTTTGCTGGATGGCAGAGAACCATACATTATTTTGAAAATCAAGAGAAAGAGAATTTACCCTGCACAAAMTGCAGAGTAAACCAACAGTTCATAGGAGAAAGTTCCTTTTTCAGAAAGATTCTGACTGATAAATGAAGCAGGAAGAACAGAATTAGAAATATCATCTTTTGTAACCCTAATGCAGTAATAGATCTCGGTAGTTATTGCCAACTGGGAGCCTCACAAAAAGGACAGCAAGGCCCTAAGCAACTTAGCAAGACCCTGTTTCAAAATCAAAAATAAAAGAGCTGGGAATGTATCTCCATGGTAAAGCACCCCCTGATTCAATCCCTAGTATTAAAACAAAAGAAAAGCAAAGCCAGACATCAGGTGCCTCCTGTGGAAGCACAGTGTAATCTATGGTGGATGTTGCCACATTTTGAAACCTACATCTGAGCAAGCTCTACTGCTCTACACAGAGTCAGCAGACAGGGTGTGTACCATGGGACTGTCACCAGCACTACTGAGACTGACTATTCAGGACAATCTGGTTCCTCAACCAGACTGAATCATTTACATGTGATGGTGGCACTGTGGTGATGCCACTTGGTTGAAGAGCTTGTTTTGAAGGTGCATACTCAAACCCAAATGAAATGATACGAGGCCTAGAATTTGGTTCAGAGTGAAGGGGAAGCAGGGGACCAGGTGGGATGTAATGATTAYGGAGGTTGGATGGTGGACACTGGGATTCACCATTTTATCCTTTCTATTTGTATATATACTTGAAGCTTTCCATTATAATAATATGAAATGTTTAACCTAATCCTAGTTGAGTTTAACAAGAAGGATTCTAAGGATTCTTTTTGAATTTGGGGGGAGGGGGGAATAATCAGAGCATTAAAATCAAGAAAAGCCAGGAGCAGTGGCGTGCACCTATAATCCCAGCAGCTCAGGAGGCTGAGGCAGGAGGATTTCAAGTTCAAAGCCAGCCTCAGTAACTTAGTAAGGCCCTAAGCAACTCAGCAAGACCCTGTCTCAAATTTTTTAAAAAAAGGATGTAGCTCAGTGGTTTAGTGCCCCTGGGTTCAATCCCCAGTACCAAAAAATTTTTTAAAAGTTAAGAAAACTCAGTTTAAAATCACATGTCAGTGCAGCATAAAGTAGTTTAAGAAGTCAAAAGTGTGTGAAATCAGAAAAGAGTGAAATGCAATGTGCCACCCAAAGTATCCAGTGACTTTTTTCAAACAGAATTCAGTAGAGACTTTTTAAGAGCTAGATTTTTTTTTCGGGGGGGGGGGGGGCTTGAATCATCTGTTCTGAGTGGCAGTCTGAACAGGCACTAGTGTAAAAGCCTGGCTTCTGTACTGCACCTACCTGCATAGACAGCTCTCCTCCTTGTCAGCCTAGGGATCCACCAAAAAGACTGGGGGTGTAGGAAATCTATGGCCCTCTAGTTTATTCTTCCAAATTACATAATTCAATAGGGTTCTGCACCTTTCATCATCTTTGAAGTATTTTACAGCTCCCATCAGTTTTAGATAACTGATGGCTGTGCAAATGGTTCTTGGCCACAGAAAGCAAATGAATTCTGTCCCATGCAAGAACAATTCGAGTTCATTACCCACCCATCCACATAGAAAAAGCCAGTTTTGTATCTATGTGTAAATTCACTTCAGCATTCATCATTGACCTGTGATACTTTTATTTATCCTTTGATCCAATTGAACAATCCTCCCTAAAAGGTTAAGTAAAATACCTGACAGTGTTCATTTTATATTTGCATGGAAGTCATGATTGTACCTTTTTAAAGAATTAACCTTTAATGAGCAAATATTTAATATTGCCCAATTTCAGATAAATAGGACTGGGACATCTGCAAGACTGAGGTAGCCAAGGGAATGGAATGGTTTTAGGGAATGGGGGTATGTTCGCGGCAGGAGGCAGGACTCACACATTTGATAGCCAGACATGAACTGCACTTGGGCATTGCTGCCATGCCGAATGTGTGCAGATCAGTAGGCTTGGTCCTGCTCTCAAATAAACTTTGGCTTAGTAGGGAAGAAGGGAATGCAGTAGTTTGACAAACATTGTGAGCCAAATGTGCACAGTGTGTCCTCTACCCTGAAGGAATTCCCAGTTAATGTGGGAGAGGGACAAACAGAAAGTGTCACTCTCGTTTGGTTGGTGCTGCCAGGGAGGCCAGTACTGGATGTGCTGGAAGCCCAGAGTAGGAGCTGTTGGCCCAGCCCAAGAGCTCACAGAAGGCTCCTTAGAGGAAATAAGGCCCGGACTCTGAATAAGGGAGGCACAGTGGCTCTGCAGCGAGAGGAGTGGGAACAGGAGTGGGCAGGGACAGCAGAGCGCACAAGGCCTTGAAAGTGCCCAGCAGCTGCTTAGCTGCTTTTTTTTTTCTTTTTTTCTTTTTTTCTTTTTTTTGTGGAAGTTTCCAGGGATTGAGCCAAGGGGTGCTTAACCACTAAGCCATATCCCCAGCCCTTTTTAATATTCTGTTTAGAGACAGGGTCTCGCTGAGTTGCTTAGGGCCTCCCTAGGTTGCTGAGGCTGGCTTTGAACTCATGATCCTTCTGCCTCAGTCCCCCGAGCTGCTGGGATTTACAGGTGTATGCCACTGCACTTCTGCACTGCACGTGGCTTTTTTTTTTTTTTTTTTTTTTTGGCAATGCTGGGGATTGAACTCGGGGCCTCACATATGCTAGGTGAGTGTTTTACCACTAAGCCACATCCCCAACCCCATACCAGCTTTCTTGTCTCCTGCATGTATTTCCACCATGTTCTTCCTACGTGATGTTTACATTACCCACTTATATTTCCCTCTGACCCTGTGCAACCATCAGAGAACCAGGAGCACTTTAGGGCAGAAACTGTATTTTTGTCCTCTTCCGGTTCATCTTCAGAGTCTCTGGAACCAGGTGTTTAGAGACCCAAATTAGTCGGAATGTGTGCAGGTTCTAGGTGTATATGTTATACAGACGATCCCATAAGGGCTCCAGAGACAGGCCAGTGTGATTACAGAAAGAAATTTAAAGGCCCAAATGCTGTTTCTTTTCTTGTTTTTAAATGAATGTTGATGTCTGTGCTTTTTTGCCTATAAAAGTCTCTCGTTCCCTTGCAGAGTGAAGAGTTCCACATTTACACCCAGTATTGCACCAACTACCCAAGGTATGGATCAGGAAGGAKTGGATCACTTGGGATCACTTTCATAATGTTTCAAGTCAGCATATCCAACATGTGGAGTTCTCAGGTGTTGTCTGGCTGGCCTTGTGCTAAAAAACGTCAGCAAACACAGAACACGCAGAGAACAGACTAGGGGATCCCAGATATCTACTGATCCCTTTGGGCTTTGGGGCTCCAAGCAGAGACAGTGCAGGGAAAAAAAAAATGAGAAAGACATGGAAAGAGACCAAAAAGATTACTAGGTATCTCCAAAGGAAAGCAGGCTGTTGGCCTCGTCTGTCAACCTTTTTCTCTGTGCCATGTCGTTACGATTGGGAAGCACTGCTAATGCATTTATGTAATCCAGCTGGGGAGAAAATGTGTTCTGTTTTTGCTCTGTAAGTTTTATGAACTACACGAGTTTTTATGGAGTTCAGAAAAAGGACAGATTGTGAGAAGCCAACAGGAGGAAAGGGGGCCCGTGGTCTCCCCTGGGCTGTTAGCTCAGTTTTGCTTACACAAGTAAGGCAGGGCAGTTAGGGAACAGCCTAGGCAATATATTAATCAATCAATTAAAGCCCAGGAGCCCAATATAATGGGCCACAACTATAGGCATTTGATTCTCCAAAAGACACTTACCGGTCACACTTTGATTCCTAAGCACTGTGTTAAATGCTATAAATACAACATAAACATTGAACTCCACCTCCACAGCCATTCAGAGAGACAGGGGGATTAAAGCAAGGCCCCAGAGCTTGGCACCTGATAGGCTGTCTGCAAAGTCAAGGTCATCACCACCTTTGCCCCATCCCCATCCCCATTTTATGAATGAAGAAGCCGAGGCTGATAGGCAAATTGTTTCAGGGACCAATCACATAGCTGATGAACGGCCCAGCCTGTGTTTGGGCCAAGGTTCCTCCACTCTCAGACCTCGAGTTGATCCCCCATGCCTTCTTACTATTTTTTTTAAACCACATGATTAGCAGTCTTGAGTTATCCCAAGGACAGCCAGGACGAGAACTGGGGAGATTTTTACACACTCCGTGAGTGGTCTTAGAAGAGTCCCCAAGGATACATCCGGTGGCAGGATCCATGTGGAAGAGAAGCCGGCATGTGGGAAGGGAAAAAGAATTCTTGCCCTGCTTAGAAACAGATCCAGAAAGCAGGTCTTGTTAAAAGAAAAACCCCATGGAATAGTCCCATGAAGCCAAACCTCAGATTTACTGATGATAAAATACTTCCTATTAGAGGATCTAACTGTCCTTTTCTAAATATTTGTCAGGATATTGTGTTGCGGGGATTTATTGGTTGGTGGCCAACCATGCTTTACCCAAATTTTCCATAAAAAGAAAGAAAGGAAAGCATCCTGCGTGCATATTGGAGCATTTATCACATATCCCTATCTGCTTCACAGTTTTACTCAAGCAGTTTTCTCCCCTGTACTATTTGTTTCCACCTCCATGCTCAAAATCAGGAAACTGTAGGGTGCTCCAGCAAAATTCCAGGGTCCTTCAGCCAAAAACCAGTTTACACCACACCCTAATGCAGAGAAATCACAGACTCAGCCCTCGGCTTCTCCACAAAACTTCTTCCTGAGGGAAAAGCCTTCAAACTGAATAATCAACAAAGTTCTGGACTCGATGATCAGAATCTGTAATATGACCTTCCCAAATTGCAAATTCAGAAGATTTGCTAAAAACGGAAAGTACAAAATAAAGGCAGCCTTTTCACATGTTGGGCTGCTTCAGAGTCTGGGGAAAGGCAAAATCCCTTTTGCATGAACATTATTTTCCCACATTTCTTATTGTTACATTTTAACTATACATGATGGTGGGGTTGGTTATAAATTTATACATGCACACAATATAACAATATAATTTGGCCAATATCATTCCCAGTATTTCCCCTTTCCCTCCCCTCCTCCCACCCCCTGGTCCCTTTGCTCTATTCTACTGATCTCCCTTTGATTTTCATGAAATCTCCCACCCTTTCATTTCCTTTTTCCTTTCCACCTTTCACTTATGATAGAAAAACATACAACCTTGATCTTCTGAGTTTGGCTTATTTTGCTTAACATAATAGTCTCATTTTTCCTGCAAATTATATAATTTCATTTTTCTTTATGGCTGATTAAAACTCCCTTGTGTATCTATACCACATTTTCTTTAGCCATTCATCTGTTGATGGTCACCAAGGCTGGTTCCATAGTTTGGCTATTGTGAATGGTTGTAAGAACATTTTAAAGAGCCTGCCATTCAGGGATGGTGGTATGGCTCATGGTAGAGCCCTTGCCTTGTGTGCATGAGGCCATGAGTTTCGGAAGGAGCCTGTCATTCATGGAGCACAGTTCCAAACCTAATGGAGATCCACAAGAAGTAAAGAACCAATGTCTTTCAGGGGCACTCAATCACTAAGCCACATCTCCAGCCCCATTTTGTATTTTATTTAGAGACAGGGTCTCACTGAGTTGCTTAGAGCCTTGCTTTTGCTGAGGCTGACTTTGAACTCGGGATTCTCCTGCCTCAGCCTCCTGAGCCACTGGGATTACAGGCATGTGCCACTGCACCTGGCCCAGTTTATATTCTTTTGAGGGTAGAACTGAACTAAATGCAATAGTGGAATAGCATGTTATGGAAGATCAAATAATAAGTGTAAATTAAATAGGGTGATTTTAGCCAGGCTAAATTCCAGGTACATGCCTGGAATATCCCAGCTATTCAGAAGGCCAAGTCAGGAGGATTTCAAGTTCAAGGCCAGCCTCAGCGACTCAGTAAGGCCTAGCAACTTAGTAAGGCCCTAACCAGCTTAGCAAGACCCTGCCTCAAAATGAAAAATAAAAAGTACTGGGAGTGTGGCTCAGTGATGGAGCACTTCTGTTCAATCCCCAGTACCACACACACTCAGTCATGTGTAGTGACTTAAGTTCAAGATACTGAGGTAAGAAGTGATAAGTCTCAGTGAGGGGTAGTTAAGAACAGTTTACTGGAGAAAGTGGGGTGGGGTTTTTTGTTTGGTTTTTGTTTTAATTTCAAGTCTGACTTGAAACCTGAGTTGGCAGAGCGGTGCTTGCAAAGCGTTCTGGATGAGGAAGGCATCTCTGCTTCTTTCCCAATTGCAGGATTTTCATATTCACAGAGAAATAGTTCTTGTCCCTCCTCCAGTCAGTTTGGTCTGAGGCCTGAGGTTCCCTTTCCCCTGTCTTAACAAGCCAAGAGTGCCAGGTGTTGTGGCCCAAGTGACAAATTTTTCTTTCCCCATTGGATCCAATCTGGTGACATTTAAGTGGCCTGGCACACTGACCAGTGTCCTCTTTCTTCCTGCCGGTGGTGCCCTGTGATTTCACTGTGAAGAGGCACAGGCCCCTCCTTCCTTACCCCAGGGAGGAGCACAAACAGGACCAGGTCAGTGTCCTCAGATGCCTGACCTATAATGAGGACTTCTGGGTACCGGGAGCCCTGCGTGCTCCCAGTCGGTGACACAAGTCACTCTCCAGCAGCTGCTCAAGCTATCAGGCAGCTAAGGAGCTACCAGGCAGCGGTTTCTGAGGGGGAAAAAAAAAAAAAAACAAACCCTGAGAAAAGGTCCCAGGTCATATGATGGGGAGTTTTGAGATTTGGACTCAAACTTATAAACCAGTTTGAACTGATATTCTGAAAACAGATGGGTACAAACGAGAGTCCAACAACTTAATTATGAGACTTGCATTGAACTTCTTTCCAAGGAGTCTTATTTTGTTTTTTGACTCTGTCTCAATTAATCGTGAAAACATGTTCATGACTTGGGGAATAAAAGGGATGAGATTTTTCCTACCTGCTTCCTTCTGAGTTCTCAGACCATAGATGTTACTGTAGGTGTGTGACCACCCGAGCCCCTCAGCATGCTTTAGTTGTGAGGTGCCAGCACTCTTTCTCCTATTCCTGGAAGCTGTTTTAGCACCATCCTTAGTTACTTTCAGGGATCTGGGCTAAGAAGGAACTCTAACCCACTTTTCTAATACCCTGCAGTGAGGAACCCTCTCTGAGGATTGAGACCATCTAGAAGGAGGAGAAGCACTTGGAGGTGGAAAGGGGAATCTATCTGTTCCAGGATTCTCAAATGCAAGTTAACTGTGGGGAGAGGTCTCCCAGAAGAGCCACCCCATAAAGCCATACAGCTTGTGCATTATACAAGCTAACCATCAGAGTTGACAAATGCCCTAGTGGGCATTTACTGGCAAGGATCTACTGGGAAGAAGGAACTACTTCTTGGTACAAAGTACCTTAAAATTGACTTGTAGAAACTGTGTGAGATCTGCAGTGTGAGCACTGCTTGAAGATACCAGGTAGGGCACACCTAGGGGCTAAAATCCAGCTCAGATCCCTTTTGCCAAGCCACATGCCCTGGCTTGCATCTGGTCTTCTAGAAGGAAGGATCTTGCTACTAGAAGCCTTGAGCCCATGGTGCTGCATCAAAACTCAGCTACCTCTGCCCTGCATCACACTGACATAAAAAACAATTGTTCCTCTTGCAGGTCAGTGGCCGTGCTAACCGAGTGCATGAGGAACAAGATGCTGGCCAAGTTCTTCCGGGAACGCCAGGAAACTCTGAAACACTCGCTGCCTCTGGGGTCCTATCTCCTGAAACCAGTTCAGCGGATTCTCAAGTATCATCTCCTTTTGCATGTGAGTCTCTGCCTGCGCTTGAGCACTTTCCAACGGGATGGAGATCTTGTGTGTATATATTAAGTTTTGGGGAAAATACCAGAAAAGGCTGTAGACATATGGAATCAGTTTCCACTCTCATACTTTACAACTGACTAATCTGCTTTGAGGAATTAGAGATATTTATATTCTAGGCCTGCAGCCCCGCTGACCACGGCCAAATCAAAAGATTAATCTTAGCTCGGATGGTGACAGGGCTTACGAGTGCCTTGCATTGGGCTATGACAATCCAGGCAGGGAGCTATCATCCAAATGGAAAACAGGTTTTTTTCCTGTTTTATTGTATTTCCATGAGTCCCAATTCAGTAGGAAGTTGAGAGAGAAAGCTGTTTGTCATAGATTGGTTCCTTTATGAGAGCAAAGAGGAGGGGTTGGGAAGGGCGGGGGGGGGGCAGAATGTGCAGGAGGTGAGGGCTCCCTGAGCGGGAGAGGCTTCACTTCCAGATATCTCTTTTTTTATAGTGTTTTCCATTACTTTTATAAAATTCAAAGAGTCTTTCGATCAAAGATAGACACAGCTCTCAAATTCTCATTTCTTAGTCTCTAAGGAGGCTGATAAAAATGGGAAAAAAAAAGTTTTATTGAAGGAATTTGCATTCTAGATGTGGAGCTTGCTTACCTCTGCACCACGGGCAAGAAGTAGAGCAGGAAGGTCAGGGGTAGGGCTCTGGGGCAAGCCAGCCTGCCTCCGAAGCCTAGAAGGTGCCCACCTTCCCGAGGCTCAAGGCACTCGATAAAAATAAGCCAGTGTTTGTAGTTTATTCCTTTCACAATATATTAAATATCTTCCCTTAAAGGGATTTTAATCCAGAGAACTTYTTCAGTCCAACATTACCAGAAATTTCTTCACTTTGTCTGCTTGCCTGGGTAGCTCATCTATGGAACATTTTGCATCCCATTTAGCCACATTGGAGATATTTAATTTTTAAATTGGTCCTAATGACATTTTAGATTTAGTGGAGTAAGTTTGCTAAATCAGCATCCAAATAATTCTTAAATAAATAATACTTATCCCAGGACAGACCTCTGCTGAACTCTGTTAATATCACAGCTAAGACTTATTGTGGTCTTCTAAACAGGCAGGTGACCAACCTGCAAAAGAAAGTGAAGTTCTCAGAACCAGCCTGAGAGATGGCAAGTCAGGATCCTTACAGAAAGTGCACTGGAGAGGAGAACAGCCTCACTCTCTGTATTGGGCTAATAATAAAGAAAAGGGAAGAACAGTGAGGGGATAAATCCAACACTAGCTCCAGGTCGGCCTCGAGATGTGTTGCTTCTCTAGGTGGCTTAGATGTTCCTTGTGTCACTCACATGGTCTTAAGTTGTACAGGGAACCATGAATATCTCAGAGCAGGATCCTCTGCTCCTTTCAGCCTGATCATTGTTGGGCAGGATTGCCTCTCGAACTTCAAGGAGAAATTATTATTTCTTAGTTTGCTACTAATTTGGAACTCACCTGGACTTATTAGCTTAGTGGTATGGTTTCATAGGACCTTCAAAGCCCTGAGTCTGAGTATGGGGATAAAAATGTAAATTCCTTTCCAGCTTTTAACTACATGAAAAATTTGCATACCCAGTAAAAGTAAACTAATATTTACAAAGTGTCACTGTAAAATAATGGGAATTAATTTGCAGAAATTATGCCATAAGATTCAGCCTCTGCCACTTAACTGAGTTTGCACAATAAATGTCATAGAAATGATCTAAGGCACAGTTTCTTACTGTTGTAGATGTGATTGTCTCTTGGTATCTGCAGGGGATTGATTTCAAGGATACCAAAGCCACAGATGCTCAAGTCCCTTATCTAAAATTATGTAGGCTTGTGTATTATACAATGCATGTGTAACCTCCCCTATACTTTAAATCATCTCTAGATAGTTTATAATACCTAAAGCAGTTATTACAACATATTGTTTAAGGAATAATAATAAGGAAAAGAAGTCTGTTCATATTCTATATAGATGCAATTTATTTACATATATACATAGAGAGATTAGAGTTATTGTTGTTTTTAAGAAAATATAGTTTTACCTTAATAAGCATTTATTGGGGCTGAGAGTGTAGCTTAGTGATAGAGTACTTGCCTAGCATGATGGAGGTCCTGGGTTCCATCCCCAGCACCAGAAGAAAAGAAAAATATCTATTGACCACCTGTCTGTTAGGTGTTATGGAGAAGATAAAAAGAATAGTCTTTGACTCCTAAGGGATCCAGGTACAGGAGTCTAATATCCTCTAAAGAATTAGAACAGAGGTTGCAGGGCACAGTGCTGTGCATGCCTACTAGCTACTGGGGAGTCTGAGTCAGGAGGGTTGCAATTTCCAGGTTAGTCTGAACAATTTTTTTTCTTCAGTACTTGGTATAGCGTGGGAAATTTAGCAAGACCTTGCCTCAACACGAAAATTTTAAAAATTCCTGAGATATACCTAGCTCAGAAGCAGAATGCTCCTGCTTTCACTTCCCAGTACCACACCAATAAATGAATGAATGAATGAATGAAGAAAGAAAGAAATAAAAGAAAAGGAATTAGAACAGAGGTTGTGTGCCTCTCTCCCTTCCCTGGGGCTGTGGAACTCCATGCTAAGATGGGTCTAACATAACCTGCTGAAACCATCAGACAAGTTACTGCATGATACCTGTGAACTTCCTTGACACTCCAAAAGACTGTCTTCAGTGAACCTCATTGAGGTTCTAAAACCTCATGTCTGCATGAAATGTGCTTGCTGTAGAGGTTTCTATTTGCATGTTTGGTTTTGGTGCCAGGGATCTTCACCTAGGGCCTTCTGAATGTTAAACACCTGTTCTACCACTGAGTTGTGCCTTCTGGCCCCTACGGAGGTTTTTTTGTTTGTTTGGTTGTTTTTTTTTAAGATAATGTCTACTACATTTTTGAGTCTGTGACACTTTGAGGTCTTTGTGAGACATTTTGTTTCCTCTATAAAAGAAAAAAAAAAGATATGTATTTTGATCTTCTAAGAGTGAGAACTGTATTACTGAGAGCGATATTACCTTGGTCACCAAGAAGCTCAGAACTCTCAGCTATAAGATCAATTCTCATATCTATTATAACTGTCTTATCTCTTTGAGACTTACTGTGTGTTATAGCCTTTCCTGGAATTCTAATATTCTTGTATTATTCTTAGACCCATTTTTTATTTCCATCTTATCACTTTGTGGCAGGTATTCCTGGTAAGTTCCTCAAAATCTTAAGGAATGATAGTAGTAGGCAAATAAATAAATAAATAAGCACAAATAAAATATAAGGAACTAGTTACAAGATGTTATTCATTACTTGCTATATGCAAAAAATGGAAAACAACTAGTTATTTGTGTGTGTGTATGTGTGTGTTTTTAAAGGAAATAGAAAATCACCTTGACAAGGACACAGATGGCTATGATGTGGTGCTTGATGCTATAGACACTATGCAGCGAGTGGCCTGGCACATCAATGACATGAAGCGGAAACACGAACATGCGGTCCGGTTACAGGTGAGCCCACAGCAAGGTGTCAGTACCCAGCAGGGCTGCAGGGACACGGATATGTATCATTTCCAAAATCAAATCCAATATTAAGATTGCACAAATATCATACTTCATTTATGTTCCTCATCGTAATTCTCCCTGAAGAACGACCAGGGCACCAATAATGACCATTGTTTAGAGTAGCTATTTAAGACAAAGTTGTTATGTAATTTAGCTAATAACTTGCTTATAGCCCTTTGAAGACCCAAGCTAAAAACTTTCATCTCCCAAGGCCTTATCTTATGTTAAGTCATAAAATTATAAATTAGTAATTTTTGTTAAAAGCAAAGTACCTAGACCTTTTAAGCTTCTGTTCTTTCTCACTCATTCCTGCAAAACCATGAGATGGTTCTCAAGCACATCGTTTTAGTTTCCTCGTCGTTAAAATGAGACAGTCAAATGAGAAGTTTGCTAAGGTCCCGTGTAGCACCAACATTTTGATCCCTAAAACACTCAGGAATTTTTAATAGATGCTGTGCCAATTATCCTAGAAATCTCAAAAAAAAAAAAATCGCCCTATTTAAAAGCTATTTAAAAACCAAAACAAAACATAGGCCCAAAATCCAGTTCCAACTTCTTGGGGTCCCTAGAGTAAAACAAAAGAGCCCAGAGTTGACTCCACACTATGCAGGGACACGATGCATCATTTGGCTCATAAGTCAGAAAAAACTCTAGGCAGGTGGGCAGGAGAGTATATGATATCATGCCATAGAGTCAAAAATCAGAGGGGGGCAACATCCTACTCTTTCATGCCATATCTGTTTTCTGCAGTAGTAGCAGAAAGTTTAATGCTTAGTCATTCAAGTGTATTGCAGGCATCAGGCAAACCTTTGTTGGCATTCTGAAGACAGTGCTAAATTAGATTCTGGTCAAACTTATCACCATTTCTAGTTCCTTCCTTCCTTCTTTCTTTCCTGCCTTCCTTTTGCCTATGGCATGGGTTATCAAACCCAGGACCTTGCACATGCTAGGCAAGCACTGTACCACAGAGCTTTCTGTTTTCAACCAATGAAGTCTTTTATTATCTTGTGGCTTCCTTCATTAAGTGGTACTTGTGAACATTTTCATTTTTCAAAATAATGACCTCATCTTCCTTAAGCAATATTAATGTACAACAAATCCTAAAGAAATGTCAATCGTGTTACCAATTTCTATATTTACCAAGTTCCACTAAAAACACTAAAACATAGCAGCAGAGAAATGTTCATTTCCTTTCCCAAAATCAGTGAATTAAAAACAGGAAGCTTCTGAGAAAATATGTCTCGTGATCGTGCACACAGTTTAATTTCGTGTCACGTCTACATGGTATAGACTTCAGTTTTTCGAAGAAAGATTTCAAGTCAACCTCTCTAGAGATTTTTTTTCTTCTGGAGAACAGGAGGTCAGAAGGTCAGAGAAAGGATGCCCATCAAGAAGTCCCAACTGGTGGCCCTGTTCCCAAGCTTTTGAAAGATGTAGCTGCTGTGGCCACCCACAGCCTAGGAATTATTAAGGAATAGAAATAAGTAATTGGCAACTCGGCAACTTACAGCTGGACTCATTTTTGTTAACCCTTGAGTGGTACCTCCCAGAAATGCAGATTTATGTCATAGATCATTAGTCACCATTGCTGAGGCTCAGTGGATGGGCCACGGAGCCTTTGTCCCCTGTTGAATCCACGGGGCCTCCCCTTTCCCAGGAGATTCAGAGTTTGCTCACAAACTGGAAGGGGCCAGACCTGACCAGCTACGGGGAACTGGTGCTCGAGGGAACCTTCCGTCTCCAGCGGGCCAAGAACGAGCGGACGCTCTTCCTCCTTGACAAGCTGCTTCTCATCACCAAGAAGAGGGACGACACGTTTACATACAAAGCTCACATCCTGGTAGGTGTGAACACCAGTCACATGGGGGCCAAGGGCTTGTTCCCTCTCCCCAGAGTGGTTCTCACCTCCGTGCTCTCTGCTCCAGTGTGGCAACCTCATGCTCGTGGAGGTGATCCCCAAGGAGCCACTCAGCTTCAGCGTCTTCCACTACAAGAACCCCAAGCTGCAGCACACCGTTCAGGTAAAGAGGGCCACACCTCTTCCCTGGGCCCCTCTCGTGGACGAGGAGTGCTGGGTGCCAGGGCCTTTCCAGGTTTTCCTGACCACACGGGGTGCTTCCCATCTCATCAGGGGGCTAAAGGAGTCCAACATCTGTCCAACGGTCCAACATCTGACCCTTCCATCTGCCCCGTAGGCTAAGTCCCAGCAAGACAAGCGGCTCTGGGTTCTGCACCTGAAGAGACTGATCCTGGAGAACCATGCGGCAAAGATTCCAGCTAAGGTAAGACGACAGAGGCAGTCAGCACACAGTGGCCGAGAAAGGGGGCAGGTCCTAGCAGGGCAGCCGGACAGGAAGCGAGGCTCAGCTGAAAAACGGCATTTGAGATGTCAAGTCTGTAAGGACTGATTCCACCACCCAATGCTGCAGAGATTCGCTCATGGTGGGCTCTGTATGAGGTGTTCCCCACCTTGGGAGATTGAAAGAAGGGAGGGGAAAGGCTGTAAGGAAAGTTCCAGAGGACTAACAGAAAATGGAGTATGAAGTCGAGCATGGTGGCGCACGCCTGTAATYCCAGTGGGCTCCGGAGGCTGAGGCAGGAGGATCACGAGTTCAAAGCCAGCCTCAGCAAAAGCAAGGCGCTAAGCAACTCAGTGAGACCCTGTCTCTAAATAAAATGCAAAATAGGGCTGGTATGTGGCTCAGTGGTCAAGTGCCCCTGAGTTCAACCCCCAGTACCAAAAAAAAAAGCAAAAGAAAATAGAGTATGAGAAATACTCAGAGGGGCACTAAGAACCGGCCACACAGGAAAGACCACCTAGGTGCTATGGGAACAGCACCCAGAGAAAGGAGCCCCAGGCGTGGCGGTGAGTGTACTCAGAGCAGGGGCAGCTGGCCCTGTAACCCCTGACCTGTTTGCTCAACTTGGTGAAATCATGGCACTGTAAGCCAGGTGTCACGGAAGGACAGTGTCCATTTGAGTGGGGAGAGGAAGGAATGTTTTCATAAGTGAGGGGAAAGGAAAAGGGAAGCCAGGCTGAAAGGACGTGTAAACAAGCAGGAGAGAACGGGGCACTGTGCTCAGGGCCCAGAGGCGCTGCCTGCCCGGGAGTGCCAAGCTCTCAGGGGTCAGGGTAGGAGGTGAGGCTGGGAGGCTCAGTGGGCCGACGGAGGACTTTGGACCATGCACCATGGAGTCTGCGTGGTGAGATGAGGAGCAGGGGCTGTGGTGGCCACAGAGGGAGAGAGGTGAGACAGCTTGTGAGGCAGAGGAGCGGGAGTTGGCCACTGAGATTCAGTGTCACTCGTGACCTGCACCAGGAGCATGGCGCCGGAGTCCCCCAGCAAGCTGGGAGGCGGGGAGAACTGGCTCGATGGGAGTCGAGGGGCAGGGGAGGCAGGACCCTTGCAGGTAGAAATTCGGGTTCTGGGAGCCGAGGGTTAGGCGAGACAGTAATGGAAGGTCTAAGATGGTTCGCAAAAGTGTGCAGAGGAAAGAAGGCCCCTCGGGAATCCCAGTGAGTGGTCTAAAAGGGGAGGCAGATCTGAAGCACAGAAAAAGAAAAAGGGGCCGTAAGAGAAGCAGGGAAGGGCATTGTGCCAGCAAAGGAAGGTGAATCTCACAGACAGGGAACAGAGAACAGTCTTGCAGAGGTCAGATGATTCAAATGGAAAGACAGRTTTTTAGGGTTGGCAGCTAAGAAGAAAAGGTTTGAGTGGGTCAAAAAGCAAGGGTGAAATGAGGAACAGACCGGGTATCACTTTTTCACTTCACAAAGTTCAGAAAAGGAAAAAGCTGGTAGTTTTGGGGAAAAGCCAAAGCAAAGTACAGATGCAGTGGCACAGGAGGCTGAGGCAGGAGGACCACAAGTTTGAGGCCAGCCTCACCAGGTAGGAAGACCTTGTCTGAAAATAAAAAGGGCTGGGATGTAGCTCAGTGGTAGAACGCACCTGGGTTCAACCCCGAGTACCTCCCTCCCCCCCACACACATACACACAAAGATACCATGTGGATAAGAGGGCTGCAGGGGATAGGAAGGGAAACAGGAGACAGTAAGGCCAGGAGAAGGATGTTTGTTGGGGTGAGACCTGGGAAGGTGGGAACAATAGGCCCATCAGCGCAGCAATAGGAGCTAGTCTTGGGAAGGGTCGCAGACATCTTTCCTGAACCAAGAAGAAGAAAGATGAGTGAGGTAGAGAACAGTAGGTGGACTTGGGGAAGGAAAAGCTTCTAGAGATAAAGTAGCCAAGGGACTATGGTGCAGGGGTGAGTGTCATTACCRGTTAGCCAGGTAGATGGTGGAATGGTSCACAGTGGGAGGSAGGTGGGGCAGARAGTGGGACCATAATCATGGGAGTGGACCTGGGTGGGAAATCAGGAGGACTGAGCTCTGAGAAGAGAGCCTGTTTTGCCCTCTGTATATTTTGAAAAGCTTTTGAAGTTAGTCCTCAGGAGCCGCCAGCCCCAATTACTCAGGAAATGAACATGCAAAGGTGTGTACGTGGACTGAAGTGGGAGTTTCATTTCATCGGGGGATTATGAGATGCAGGGGAGCTCAGGCAGAGAGGTGACTGAATTGCTTCACGGCTGGTCCCGGGGTTGCTGGCCTGGTGCCCTGGAGGCCCTCTGAGTAATGGTAGCATGTGTCCCATGCCCCACCTGTTGATGACAAGTCTCCTGGAAAATCCAAGTTGCTTAAGAAGATTCTGAAAGGCAATTATAGACCATTACAAAACCAGACTAGCCTACATACCTGTCCCTTTTCTCCTACACACGTGTGTGTGTGCTCCTGGCCCTTTTGCCTCTATGTGTTACCAGTTGACATAGCCATAGTAGAATTGTATTTTTCACCTAARTTGTTGATCCATTTAGAATCTAAATTTTTTCAAGTTACAACTCATTGATCACATATACACTGTGCTGTATCTTATTYCACCCTCAGCAAAACACCTTATGAAATAAGTCTAATTCAAGAGAACTAAAAACAGAGGTTCAGAGACATTAAGTTGTGCAAGTTTTACCACGAGTACATGACTAAACTCAGACTCAAACCAAGGTCTGTCTGCCTGCAAGGAACTTCTTAACCATATTATTCCCACGGGTTATAAAAATACACTTATTTCATATACTTAATCCACTGTAATGTTATAGTATAAATAAAAGGATTACGTTGAACTTTTTGATGAAAGCTACAACTTTCATCAAGACYATTTCTTAAATTGTTTTCTTAAAGCTTTCAAAATGTATTTCTACAAAATAAAATAAATGTATAATGGGGCATTTTAGGTAAAAATGTATCACTGATCTAAGTGTCAACACAGCTGTTGGAAATTCATTAGTTTAACTCCTCCCAGCCTCCACCCACTCCTTTAATTCCATGATGGTCCTTGACTGACACCTAGTGGAAATCCTGGGAATAGTACTTTTTTGAAATTAAATGTCAAGATTGGGGGACGGATACTTTGTTCAGGATTACAGATACCAGGGAATTTCCTGGAAGTAGCCCCATTCTCATTCATCTAGATGTTATATAGACTGAACTCTTATCCAAATTAATTAATAATGATTTATTATTTATTAAAAATTAATAAGTTTGCATTTCATATATTAACATGGTTCTAGAAACATGCTTTACAGAAATTGAGCTATCGCTTGTATTTGAAATTTAATTCCAACTGGTAATCTCAAATTCTAAATTTAAAATAGAAATATCAACATAACAAAAATCTAAGTATTTGTTTTCTCATAGCTAAGGTGACTGTGTTGTGGCCTCTCTCTCTCTCTCCCCTCACTTTCTTAAACTAAATATGATTACCATTTAGCCTAAATATTTTTATAATATCAAAGATTTCAGAAAGTAGGAGTGAAATTATTTTGAGTCATTTTATCATAGTTTTAATTGGTTAAGTTACACTTCCCTTGAGAAATAAAAATGACAYCAAAGAGGCTATAAAGGCCATCTAAACTGATTACTTTTCTTTGAATCCTTAGGCAAATTGGCTAAGAAAATCAGCTTGCCTTTTTATARCACCCTAAACATCCATAACATATGGCAATAATAATAGCAAAAAGAAACCCCCAAAGCATTAGCCCTCAGAAAGTGTGTTGGAGAGGGAGGGCTAAGTCGAGCAGCAGGTCACTGGACACGGCCCCCCAGGAGGGCAGCAGCAGCAGGCAGGTGAGTGCCTGTGCAGCTCCACCTAGTGGGTCCCACTGCCGTCCCATCTGACAGTGGAGGGAGCTCAGCCAGAGATAACAGCACCCACCACCTGGCTGTGTGCCCGAGCTGGGATCACAGTGACCCTCAGCACCTTGACTCCACACTGTACCTCTTTCCTCCTGCCTGGGGCACCCAGAAGAGATGGGAGGTGAAGGAGGCCATGGAAACAGGGCAAGAAACCTGATGGTCACCATGCAKCATTTGGGAGGAGAGATGCAGTGAGAGCAAACTCCAGCAGCCATATTCCAAACGACTAAAAATAGACAGCCCCCCACCCACCAACAACAGGGCTTCCACATCTGCAGATCCAACCAAATGCAAATAAAAAATGTTAGGAAAAAAATTACGGCTACACTGAACATTTAGACTTTTTTTCCTTTTCATTRTTCCCTAWTGAATAGTTATATAACTCTTTCCATAGCACTTATTTTGGATTAGGGATCATAAGTAATMTAGAAGTGGTTTAAAGTTTACGGGAGGATGTGTGGGGTTATATGCAAATACTTACCACTTCATATAAGGGACTTGAGTATCCATCAGTTTTTGTACCTTTGGGGCATGCTGGGAATGGGACACTGAGGGAGACTGTGATTCTAGGGACCACCAGTGGCGTGGGGAGGGCTGGTGTTCTGTAGATGCCAGGCTCTGGGCCTTGGGCTTTTGATTCGGTAGACCACTCTGGGTCGCAGGAGTATACTTTTCTTTATCAGCTCCCCAGTGAATGATTCCTGATGATCAACCAGGCTTAAAACCAACTCTTCCTTTCTCCATCTATTTTCGCAGATTGGCGGGGTGCTGGGGGGGTCAGCCCTAGCTCTGGAGTCTCAGTTGGGCAGCATCTACGGTGCCCATGAGGGCATTTATCTCATTGAATTCCCTGAGCTCCTGATCTATATTTTAATGTCTGCAAGAAACAGTCATTTAAAGCTTTTTCTAATTTCTTTATTCAGGTGGGATAAGAACTGTATTAGAATTAGTAGGTTAAAGAAAAAAATAATAATACTTGCAATTACAACTACACTTTCTCTTTCAGGCCAAGCAAGCAATACTTGAAATGGATGCCATTCGTAAGTTTTATGTCCTTAACATGAATTGAAATGTTCCTTACTTGTATCGTCACATTTTCTCTGTTATGAAGAGTTTATAAAGTGTCATTTGTAAGAAAACAGCATCTCTCCGCTCCCTACCCCACCCCCCATCCTACTGAGTTTGGACTTGGCAGTATGATTGGGGAGGCCAGTCCATTGGACCAGATGACCTCCCTTGAGTTAATGTTACCTGCATCTCTGAAGATGTGCAGGTGGCCTTTGGGGTCCTCTGAACCTAGGCTCCTAGAAGCAGTGCCTCTAATTTGAGGAACACCAGTTTATGGCTTTATACCCAGAGTGCTGGCCTTCAAGGTGCAGGTGATCAGTCACTGGATATGCTGCGTGTCTTTAGGATTAGACCAGAGTTTCTTAATCCAGAGTCTGTGTGCTGCCTCACAGGGGCAGAAAGACATGAACTCAATGAAAATTTCTTTTCTGGATCTAAATCTTTCACCAGATTCTTAAAGGAACAATGTCTGTAAACGTTTTTAAGAATACTCCACTGGAGTCCTTGGCCCATTTATTGATTGGGTTATTTGTGTTTTGGGTGCTTAGCTTTTTGAGTTCTTTATATACCCTAGAGATTAGTGCTCTATCTGATGTGTGAGGGGTAAAGATTTGCTCCCAAGATGTAGGCTCTCCATTCACTTCAGAGATTGTTTCTTTTGCTGGGAAGAAACTTTTTAGTTTGAATCCATCCCATTTATTGATTCTTGATTTTAATTCTTGCACCAAAGGAGTCTTATTAAGGAAGCTGGGGCCTAATCCCACATGATGGAGATTAGGACCTACTTTTTCTTCTGTTAGGCACACAGGGTCTCTGGTTTTATTCCTAAGTCCTTGATCCATTTTGAGTTGAGTTTTGTGCATAGTGAGAGAGAGGGATTTAATTTCATTTTGTTGCATATGGATTTCCAGTTTTCCCAGCATCATTTGTTAAAGAGGCTATCTTTTCTCCAATGCATGTTTTTGGTGCCTTTGTTTAATATAATTGTAATTTTGTGGGTTAGTCTCTGTGTCCTCTATTCTATACCATTGGTCTACCAGTCTGTTTTGGTGCCAATACAATGCTGGTTTTTTTTGTTTGTTTGTTTATTTTGTTTTGTTTTTKGTTTGTTTGGGTTTTTTTGTTTTTGTTTTTGCTTTACTATTGCTCTGTAGTATAGTTTAAGATCTGGTACAGTGATGCCACCTGCTTCCATCATTGCTAGCAATTAGAGAAATGCAAATCAAAACTACTCTCAGATTTCATCTCACTCCAGTCAGAATGGCAGCTATTATGAATACAAACAACAAAAAGTGTTAGCGAGGATGTGGGGGAAAAGGTACACTCAACATTGCTGGTGGCACTGCAAATTGGTGCAACCACTTTAGAAAGCAGTATGGAGATTCCTTGGAAAATTGGGGATAGAACCTCCATTTGACCCAGCTATCCTTCTCCTTGGTCTATACCCAAAGGACTTAAAAGCAGCCTACTACAGGGACACAGCCACATCAATGTTTATAGCAGCACAATTCACAATAGCCCAACTGGGAACCAACCTAGATGCCCTTCAGTAGATGAATGGTCAAAAAATGTGTCATTTATACACAATAGAATATTACTCGGCAATAAAAGAAAATAAAATCATGGCATTTGCACGTAAACGGATGGAGTTGGAAGAGATAATGCTAAGTTAGCCAATCCCAAAAAAACCAAATGCCAAATGTTTTCTGATATAAGGAGGCTGATTCATAGTGGGGTAGGGAGGGGGAACATGGGAAGAATAGACGAACTCTGATAGGGCAGAGGGGTGGGAGGGGAAGGGAGGGGACCTGGGGTTAGAAATGATGGTGGAATGTGATGGCTATCATTATCCAAAGTACATGTATGAAGACACAAATGGGTGTAAATATACTCTGTATACAACCAGAGATATGAAAAATTGTGTTCTATAGTGTAATATGAATTGTAATGCATTCTGCTGTCATATATAAATTTTTAAAAAAGAAACCCTCTAGAGAGGGAAGCAACTTGCTCACAGTTTTGCATATTGTTGTCAAATTTTAAAAAGAAAAAAAAGAATACCGCACTGGGGACAACTACCACAGGGCATAAAGGGAAGAGTGGCAAAGCTGGTGATTGACAGCTCCTTCTGCTAAGGAGTAAAAATGGAAGGCACAGGAAGACGGAGGAGRGGAAAAGAACAGGAGGGCAGTCAGTGCATCCTGGAATCCTGCATGTAAGAAAAAACCTGAGATGCAGTGAATGCCAGTTACGGGGGTAGGATATGTCAGGTGAAAAAGAAAATCCATAAATTATTCAAACAAGATGTGACTATTTTCCAAGGAGCCCAGAGCACCTCACTCTGCCTGTTGTTATCTTTACAGATCATCCAGGCTTCTGTTACAGCCCSGAGGGAGAGACAAAAGCATCCTGCGGCTCTAGAGAAGGTTCTACACCCTATCGGCTCAGAAGAAAATCTGGTAAATAGGATATTTTGTAATCCCAGCGACTTGGGAGGCTGAGACAGGAGGATTGCAAGTTTGAGGCCAGCCTCAGCAACTTAGCAAGATCCTGTCTCAAAATAAGAAATGAAAAGGATTGAGGATGCAGCTCAGGGATAAGGCAGCTCTGGGTTCAATCCCCAATACCACCAGGAAGAATAAAAAAGGATGTTATGATCAAAACATGATATTAACAGGGCACTGGGAGTTCCTTGCCGGTGACAGGCCTTTTGAGTTCACTGCTTGTTTGATTGCACCTGAGCCTGCCTTAAAACAAGCCTCTGCACCCTTTATTTTAAACTCTTTTACCCTTAATGCTCTCTTTTCCTGTGAATAGAAAACATATCAACTAATTTTGCTTTGTAGAGCATCTTACCATGGATCTGTAGTTACTTAAACCCTGTTTGCTGTTGCTAATGAAAATTGTTATCTTGTGAACGACACTTCAAAAGATTATTCCAGCCTAAAATACAAGTACATATTTGCTACATCAGACTGCATGCAGTCAGTGTTTACTTAGCCCAAGGACCTTGGTTTTTTGTTTTTTTAATCAGTGTTTATTGAGTACCTACTGAATGCCTTGCTGGAGACATGGAATGCAAGGAAAAATAATGCATGTGATTCCTKTTTGCAAGGAGCTCACTGTGGGAGTGACAAAAAAATGGGAATAAACACCAATCAGYCTGATGGCATTGTGACACGGGAGGGATGGAAGGAAGAGTGGAGGGATAAAGGAGAGAGATTAACTTTCTAAGGAGAGAAAAGGCGTTCCAGAGAGGAGGGGAGTTCCCCTGATGGAATCTGGGGCTGAGAAGGCAGACTGGGCCAGAATAGTMTGTGCTGAGGCCCTGAGACTTGCACCGACATTCCTGAGGACAGACAGTGGCTGCTGGTCACTCAGCCTGACTGGACAGTGGGGTGGAGCAGGGGAAGGTGGAAGGAGACCAGGCTCRAGATGTACAGTTGGGACCTAAAGGCCATGCCTAGGGTTTGAATTTTGCAGCCACAGAAGGATTTTAAGCCATGAACAGAATATTTGCCTTCTAGAGACCGAACCTGGCTCCACATGGAGAGTGAAGTGGGCAGGAGGGAGACTGTCCTGCTAGTTTGAGGGAAAGATGATGAGGACTTGGATCCAGAGAGTGGTAACTGGGGTGACACTCTCTCAGGAGCCCCCAAGACTGTGATGGATAAAACCAGGAGGAATGTAAAGTCCTGGTCACTAACTTGGGGGGCGGGGGCAAGGCCCATGATAGCCCAGAGGAAATCCGGAGCAGATTTGGAAGGATGGTGAGCTGGGATTGAGATGGTGAGTCTGCTGCGATGGAAACTTGGGACAGACATCTGGCGCAGAATATAAAATTGAAAGTTACCAGCTCACAGGGTGGTTGAAGCTGAGAAAGTCTCTCGCAGTTGGTAGGTTGGTCACGTAGCATTTTTATGCTAGTCCTATGATGATAGGACTCCCGATTCCTTAACATTTTGACAGTGAATTCCTTGCTCCTAAGTAACTCTGAGCAAAGGGAATTTAGGTAAATTTGATAGAAAATTACTAGAGCTCAGGTAACCTATCAATAAAATAGTAATTTATGTATTAAGACAATTTTTGATTGGGTTTTGCAAATAACGCTGGCTTTATTTTTCTCCCAGAACCTTCCTCGAGATCACATAAAGTTTTGAAGACCAGCGGTGAGTCCCAAAAATACATTGGCATTTTCTTATTCATTCAAAGTAATACACCAAAAAGCAAAGAAAAAAAACAAGCAGATAAATTACAGCTAGACTGGTTTGAAGGTTGGATCACAGAAAGATTAATTTCTATAAGCAAAAATGTCCCGTTATAAAACATATAGTCAGATGACATAAATTATTTGCAGTGGATTGTGACAAGCATAAAAATATACAGATATTCCTATCGTGAGAGAATACCATACAACCAAAGGAGGAGACCAAGGACCCTTTTTATAAAAAGAGAAAAATCAATGTTAAGTGGGCAGCTTCACAGAAGAAATACCAACTGCCAGTAAAATTTAAAAATGGTCACCAATGTTACTAATCCAAAAAAAGCATCAATTTAAATGAGATAAATTTAAATTTAAATGAAACTATGACCTTGGCCAAAAAATATAGAAAAATAGGTGCTCTGAAACTACTGTGGAAGGGGATACATTTTTTCAATCCTTTCAGAGCAGAATTTGTCAATACCCATGTAAATTTAAAATGGACATTTGCCCTTGACCCCATGATTTTACCTTTAGGCCCCTGTAGAAGTACTCACCCACATTCAGACATAACTACTTATGTTCACGTTCTTGGCAGCACTTGCAATGGAGCACCATGTAAGATTCCCATCTAATGAAGTGGTTTAAACAAATTGTGGTATACTGTGCCTCTGATGGGATATTCTATTCCACAGCTGTTAAAAAGAATGAAGTAGATTTCTGTCTACCAACAAGAGGGTCCATATCTATTTAGCAGAAAATGAAATGTTGCATAGTGCAACCTTACCTGTAAAAGCAACACTTGTGCCTCATGCCGGGATGGGGGCAGTGGTTTGGGGACTTGGGAAGGTGAACATCAGACCTCTGAGGGAAGTTTTATGGGAAGAGAAGTGCTTTTTCTTCTGGAATTARTCAACTCTTACAGATGAGGCATTCTGTAGTGGTGTCTAGAGAACTGAGTAGGCACACCTCCTCCCAGTTCCATTTGCAACACTACTTAGCACCGGGCCAAGAAGACCCTGCTGATAAAGGCTGTGTCTTTTGGTTAAAACCAATAAAATAACCTCAAACTTGACCTATACATTCTCCTATCTTTATGTGATTTTCTTTCTTTCTCTCTTTTTTTTTTTTTTTTTTTTAACGGTACCAAGGATTGAACCCAGAGGTACTACACCACTGAGGTGCAACCCAGCCCCTTTATGTGACTGTCATGGTTTGGGGCATAGGCGTTGTATTTTTTCCCAAGCAGTGTACATATTTTTGTTTGGAAGCTTTTGAAGCTTTTTAACCTAAAGTGGTGTGTTCTCTCAAGGATTCGGGGAGACACCTGAGACTCATAAGGTGGTTTCCTTACTATAGTAGAGGAGAATTTGTCAATACCCATGTAAATTTAAAATGGACATTATAGTAGAGGGTGTGTTACTAGATATATAATGGAAAGGCATTTTTCAAAATTAGGCCCCAAGGGCTGGGGATGTGGCTCAAGCGGTAGCGCGCTCGCCTGGCATGCATGCGGCCCAGGTTCGATCCTCAGCACCACATACMAACAAAGATGTTGTGTCGGCCGAAAACTAAAAAAAAAATAAATATTAAAATTCTCATATTCTCTCTCTCTCCCTCTCCCTCTCTCCCTCTCTCCCTCTCTCCTTCTCTCCCTCTCCCTCTCTCCCTCTCCCTCTCTCCCTCTCTCCCTCTCTCCTTCTCTCCCTCTCCCTCTCTCCCTCTCCCTCTCTCCCTCTCTCCCTCTCTCCCTCTCTCTCTCCCTCTCTCTCTCTTTGAAAAAAAGAAAATTAGGCCCCATGCCTCAGAAGTGTTTTGGGCTTCAATTACAAGCACTAGGTTTAGAAGTCCTATAAAATATTAGTGCTTAGCTAATATAAGAGAGATATTTTTAATTGTCAAACTTGAAAAAAAATTCTTTGTTTTTCAGAAACAGTACAAGACATCCGAAAGGTAAGCTCTACCATTTCTTCTTATGACAGAGTTCAAGCCAAGTCCTATGGAAACTAAGCATCTACCCTTTATTTTAGTGGCCCCTCTTGATAGTATATCTCATCCCCAGCCTACATTTCAAGCATAAACCAGTACTTGACATTTTGACAATTTTACATTTTATATTTATTTTACATTTCTAATTATTGACATGTAATTTGAGGGAGGACTTATCAACTCCTTCCCTCCCTCTTCTTAGAACTAAGGCAGCTCTTTGTTCCTGCCTCTGCCCCACATCCCCCTCCGGAGCTGTAAACTCACCTTAGGAAGTTAAAACACCYGCACAGCACTGCCCTGGGCCATCTCACATTGTCATGTGTCTCTGCTCATGTAAAGCCAGGCCCTYGCCTCCTGATACACCTCCCTGCTCAGAGGGAGGCTTCTATCACAGGGCAAGGGGCTCCTTCTAAGAATATGGTCCTGAGCTGGGCAGGTGGTCATGGGCTTGGAGTTCCAGCTACTCAGGAGGCTGAGGCAGCAGGATGGCTGGAGTCCAAGAGTTCAGGGTCAGCCTGGGCAACACAGCAAGACCCTGTTTCAAGCAAAAAGGAAAAAAAAAAAAAAAAAAGCTAAAAGTATTGTCCTTCTACTACCCTAGGAGGTGTGATGGTATGTCACATACGGAACATTGCTGTATCGAGTTATGTTTTTTTATTCCTCTGATATAAGGTTAGGAAGAGGATTAGAAGGCAGTCTGGGCTGTGGGTGTGGCTCAGTGGTAGAGCATTTGGCTAGTATCCCCAGCTCTGAAATAAAATAATAACAGTATGTTCTATTGGAAAATATGTATCCAAACATGTTACCTGTATCCTGACCTGAGTGATTGTAATGATGTGGCTACTAATCAATTGGCTTAATTAACAATTTTTAATTAACCAATTATGGTTTATCTTGTGATGAATTTCTCTCCCCACAATCCAGCTTACACCATGGTTTAACATAGGGCCCAAATGACCATGTGAATAAAGGCTTATCTTTTAGTTAAAACCAATAAAATGTCTAACAACCAAAGTAGCCTTATATTTAAGTGATTTTTATGTCTTAGGGCATGTGCATATTTTTCAGGTCATACATATTGTTGTTCAGAAGCTTTTTAAACTTGTTGATATGAATTGATTTATTCTCCTGAAATATGGCATGAAAAAAAAATTTTTTTAAGCAGGGATTGAACCCAGGGGCACTCTACCACCAAACCACATCCCTCACAGTTTTATTTTTTTTATTTTGAGACAGTGTCTCACTAAGTTGCTTAGGGCCTCACTACGTTGCTGAAGTTGTCTTTGAACTTGCGATCCTCCTGCCTCAGCCTACATAGTTAATGGGATTACAGGCATGCACCACCATGCCCAGCAAAATTTTGATCTTCTAATCTTTGTTTTCATAAGGGTCATTGCAGAAGTTACCCTGCTCCTTAAAGCAACTAAAGTAAGATCATGGAGCCAAGTCCCTCTCCATACTAATTCTAGAGATCAATCTAAGAGCCTCTTGGAAACTTCTTATGACAGAGTTCAAGCCAAGTCCGATGGGAACTAACTGAATCTCATAAAATCAGAAGACAAGAAAGAGAGAAAACACCAGGGTGCTTTCTCAGTGGCAAAATTCCATCTCCTAACAATAATGGCCTGAATGTCCATCAAACCCGAGAGCAGATTTAGCCATGATCAAACAGCTTATAATAGGAAATACCCCTTAATAATAATATTTCTACCAGAATATAAAGGTATATTCTGAGGCTCTGTGCGTGAGTGTGCCTAGAGTGGTTAAGCCCATACGTTGGCTGTGGTTGAGATGTGTATTGTAATCCATTTCTGCCATCTATAAACTGCATGACTACAGTCCAGTCCAGTAACTTTCTCAGAACTTAAGTGCCCTAATTTACAGAACTGTTATAAAGATTTAATATGACAATATGTTTTTAAAAGCACTTAATGCATTATTTGGCACAAAGCAGTATTCCATAAATGATAGCTATTATCAAGTTATTAAATACCCATAATGCTGAGAATATGGAAAAGCACACACACAAAAAAATGTTCTCTTTGGATCTCATTTAAATTGAGGTATTTAAATTACATGCTTATTTCAATTATATTTAAATATATGGATGAGTTCTTTTTTAATACCTTTATTTTATTTATTTTTTAATGTGGTAGTGAGGATGGAACCCAGGGCCTCACGCATGCTAGGCAAGTGCTCTACCACTGAGCCATAGCCCTAACCCCTATTGATGAGTTCCTAATCGAAGTTTAGCTCTTTGTCAGTTCTTCTAATGATTTATTGGATGTCAATTTTTACCTTACAAAGTATGGCTACCTTCAAGGGTAATTAGTGTAAAAGTATATTCCAATACTTATATTCTGGATTTCCTAGTTTTCCAAAACATCTGCAAGTTTCCTGGGATGAAAGATCATAAGAAGGATTACTTTTGGTATTTTGAGAAAAAAACCACAAAATTGTTTCTTTACACTATCAAAATGTTTTCTCATAATTTAGCAAATATTAACTCATTTAATTTATAGAAAGTAAATTACTAGGTACCTCTATTTTATAAATATTATCCAGGTGCAGTCTAAAGGAAGAAACACTAAAACATGGGGGAATAGATACATAAAAACAATAAATTTATTGCATACAAATATTATATATGTTTATATGTGTGAAAAAATAAAGGATTAACTATTTTAAGTTTTGAAGTTGTGCTAGAAGAATAAAATTTAGGGTGAAATTTTATTTTTGTCCTCTCTACTCTTCCTTTTCTGGTAGGCAGACTGACATGTCATGAAAGCTCTTGCTAATTCAACTTCYGATAGGTTACTGTAGTGCTTCCATCAGAAAGCGTGTCCCTGGTATGCATCAGTCTGAAAATGTCTCAACCCTTTCAACTCTTTGAAACTGACCCTTCTACCTGCAAGATAGCCTCAGAGGCTAATCCACTACTGCCTGCAGAATTGAGCATCCCAGAGTTAGCTGGCCATAGTACAGGTTCTCTACACRCCAAGAATTAGGGACAAGTTGAGCTCCATCAAGAAAGCTCCCAAGTTATAGAACACTCCATTGTTTTCTTTTCTTAGATATCATTAATGTCATTCATATTTTACTTCTGAGTAACATTTAATTAATATATTTGAACAAAATATATTCAAAATAAATATATTTTGAATAAATAWATTTTGAAAAAAAATTTAAAATATCATTAACTTAACAGTGGATGAAATTATATTCCAAGAACAAATTCTTTTTACATAGAATCTATAAACCAAGATGGTACTGGTCAGGTTTGTGGTGGTCAAGAAACCCTTGGAGTGGGTCATCAGGTCACCAACAGGGGCTTCTGATATACCAGAAACCATGATCCAATTCCTTGTAGTCAAGTGCTGGAATTAGCCTTCCTGAGAAAGTCTCAGATATCCTTGCCTTGACACCTCTGTATATCCATTATATGGTGAGTTTTTGCCATGTGCATAATGGACTTATTTAGTATCTAAGAGTCTTCCATAGTTAACTGATCTCCTGGTTTAGGGCAGGGTTTGGAGTCGAACCAGGTTTGAGTCCTAGCCTTTGCTACTGACTCAGAAGAACAAGTTACAGAAYCTTTAGGACCCTAGGATTTCCTATGGATACTGGAATAATCATATCTAATTCACAGAAGGATTGTGAATACTGAGTTTGGAGGATGTCTGCAAATTGCCCATAACTTGCTTTCTAAATAAATAAAACTCCTGTCCATTCTGCCCCTTTTCTAAAAATATGAAGTGATTTCAACTCGGTTAAAATCAGCAACACCTACCCTTATTTTCTTTATTGTCTTTCTGAATCTTTCAGGCTAGTGGCAGAGGCAACGTGTAAGGACAGGAGAAATTCCTTAGGTGTCTTCTCTGGGGCACTGAAACCCATTGATGTGTCTCTGTCCTCCTCAGGTTTCTAGAGAGGAAGACTCTCCCCAACGGACTTCGGCAGGGCCTTCTCCTGCCCAGAGGAACAGCCAACCAGGCAGTTCTGCTGTGAGCAGCGTGCTTCGTGGGGGCRGCACCATCAGAAACATCTGGACGGATCACCAGATCCGGCAGGCCTTGTTTCCCAGCCGCCGGTCCCCCCAGGAGCACGAGGATGATGAAGATGATTACCAGATGTTCGTGCCATCCTTTTCTTCCTCCAACTTGAACTCGGCCCGACTGTGTGAAGAGAGCACTTCAAGTCGCCCTTGCAGCTGGCATATGGGACAGATGGAGTTCTCAGAGGTTTCCAGCTCTGGCCACAGGATTGTCCGGAGGGCCAGCAGTGCCGGTGAGAGCAACACGTGCCCGACTGAAATAAGGAGGAGGGACAGCAGTGGCTCTCAGTATAGTCCCCGAAGGGAACTGCAGAACGGCCCTCAAAGAGAAGGGCAGGAAGGGATGACTCCCTTTGGGTCATCTATAGAGTTGACAATTGATGATATCGACCATGTCTATGATAACATAAGTTATGAGGACTTGAAATTAATGGTTGCTAAACGGGAAGAAGCTGAATTTACTCCCTCCAAATCAGCCAAGGACTCCGTTCGTCCCAAGAGCACCCCAGAGTTAGCCTTCTCAAAGAGGCAAGCTGGCCCTAGTACCAGTTCCCTACACACCAAAAGAAATGGCGTGCTCACCAGTCAAGAGGCATCTCACCAAAGCACTCAGGAGCTCCAGGTGGTAGAGGAAAACATTTATGACACTATCGGGCTCCCGGACCCACCACCTCCGGATTTCAAAAGCAGCAGCCTTAAGCGGCCCAAGAGGAGCACCTTTTTGGGTCTGGAAGCTGACTTTGCATGTTGTGACAGCCTGAGGCCATTTGTTTCCCAGGATAGCCTCCAGTTCAGCGAGGATGMTGCGCCTTACCACCAGGGGCCCCCCGACAATGACTATTTGAGTTTGCTGTACAACTCCTCCAACTGCAACTTGTCTGTAGCAGATAAGGCTCTGTCTGATAAACTGTCTGAAGAGGTAGATGAAATCTGGAATGACTTGGAAAATTACATCAAGAAAAATGAAGACAAAGCTAGAGACCGTCTCCTAGCAGCATTTCCTGTAAGTAAAGATGATGTCCAAGACAGGCTGCATGCTGAGAGCACCCCAGAACTGCACAGAGACGCCAGTCACTCCACATCCACACTGTCCCTCCCTGAGAGCCAGGCTTTCCTCACACCTCTGAAAAGCAGGGCCGTCAGAGCTAGCCGGACCAACTACCCGCTTGAAGAAGACCTGATTTCTACACAAGGCTCCTTTGTGAGTCTTAACCGACTCTCCTTGGCCAGCGAAATGCCCCCGGTGGACAGCCCCTACGACTCGGCCAACAGCAGCCTGCCCCAGACAGACCCCGAAACCCCTGATCCTGGGATGGATGCCACAGATAAGACAAAAAGCAGGGTCTTTATGATGGCGAGGCAGTACAGCCAGAAGATCAAGAAGGCCAATCAGCTTTTAAAAGTGAGAAGTCCGGAGTTGGAGCAGCCGCCAGCTAGTCAGCATAAACCCACCCACAAAGACCTGGCAGCCATCCTAGAGGAGAAGAAGCAGGGCGGGCCTGCTATTGGTACGTTCACTCCACTTTTCTTCCTTCTTGAAAGTGGGTGCAAGAGCAGGCTTAGAATTCTCAGGGTCCTTAGTAGATGCACCCATGAAAACACTTGTCACTCAAGCGTTCCTACCTCATGGACCACAAAGACACTGCTAGCCTTTCCCACTGCACCTCTGCTCAGTTACACAGGATGGTGCATGATTTGGCCTCAGAGGGTTTGAGTGTCCATGCCACATTATCACTACAAGATTGCCATTTWAAAAAAAAGGTACGGGAGTGGGCATGCAAACAGTTTTAACTTGTAGAGCCTAGAACTTTACCCTATATCAGTAACATCTAAGGAGAAAGAGTAGCTTGGAAAAGCTTTCAGGTTTTGAATGCATATAGAATGTGATTGTTCTTTGCTTTGGAACCCTAGTTTGAAGTGCCCACTCTGGGTAATCAAGACAAAAAAAGAATTCTCTTTGCACTTTTCTTAGCTGTCCACASGATAACTTAGTTGTTCTCTTGCCTATTTTGGCTACTACTCAGTTTTTGAAAATAGCTGCTCTCGTGCATTTAAACCGTCTCATTCAGTATTCTCATTGATGCCTGCAAGAAGTTTAATTCTGTAGTTAGGTCTGCTTTGTGGAGTGTTACTAAGCCAGGATCATACTTGTGGTGTTGGGGAGACTGAGGGCACAGGAATGAGAGGTTCATGGCTGGACTACTTTGAAGGACAGAATGTAATACTAATCTCAAAGAAATAACTCAGGTGTGAATAAAGCACCTGATGGTCTTGAAGGAAGAGCCCAAGGCAAGGATTCTTATCTCAGGAGCTATAACCTCCAGATGCACAGAGATTTCTGGGGGCAGGCCTGGGAATCTGAATTTTATAACAGGGTGGCCCTTCCAACCGGTGTTAAGAAATCCTGCCCTTGGATTTTCTGATAAAGGAGCACCTCCAAACGAAAAAACTGGGGTCACTTCTCCAATTAGAGGCAGAAGTCAGGTGGCTCAGTTTCAGCAGGTTCAGCTAACGAGTTTCATGGTGACACAGCATGTTTGGACACACAGGGCCACTAACTGGACATGTTGGTGCCACTAACTGCCTTCTTTAGAACTGACCTATCTCCATGGAAACCAGAGGCAGAAATGGGATATCAAAATCCTCAGTGAAGTCACAAGTTACATAATGAGAATCCGAAGGGATTTTTTAAGTTCGTAAGTATTTAAGAATTGTCCAAAGCTTTAATCTTCAGTAAAATTTCCTACCATAGATAGAGCAGTGAAGGCTTGCRATTGATAGTGGAAGGATTTTACAGGCTCTTTGAGTCCTTCTTCTTTTTAATAAAAATGATGAAAAGTGATTTTTGTAGGAATAGGAGAGAGATCAAATTACAAATATTTTTCTCCTTGTAATAATGTGCTAATGGTAATGTATGTCCCTTTTCCAATGCTAGTGTCACCAAGCTGGTATATTGTTATTCTTGAAGAAAGCAGCAAGTCTAGCGGCAGAAGGACACTCTTGGGGAGACTCAGATGGCCTTAGAAATAGTTGTGTCTTGGCAATTGCAGCCACTGACTGATTTAATGCTAAGATTCCCAGTGACAATGGATTATACCAGTGTACTATTGCTGAAACTGTAGTAATAGCCTGGACCAGGTTACTTAGAGTATGTCCATCCACAAAGGTGCAAACCTCTATCTTGATTGAAGCAAGCCCCTCTGTTCTAAATGATCAGGACTTGCAGCTGCCTTGAATGTCTTCTTTTTAACCTACTTTTTAAGTATGAATTTATTTATTTATTTCAGATGGGTTTTTCTTTGGCTTCTTTTCACTTAGTTTGTTCTCCTGTTTGTTTGCTTCCTGTTGTCTTCTTGGGATACCCCAGGATCTTTCCTGAGCTTTGCATCCGGGTCTTGTCTTAACATGGTAGGCTACTACCGACATCCTCCCCCACAAAGAGAAGATCTCTCCCAGGGCATCGTTCATGAGTGCTGTCTTCCCCTGCTGTCGGGCAGGTGCACATCCCTAGGGCCTGCTATCTCCACCTGGGTGATGGAGATCACCTCCTGTGCCCACGAGGCGTTCCATCAGTTGACATGATGACTCCTTTTCTCTCTCTTGTTTATCTGGGCACAGGACGTCGTAATCGAATGGACCGATTCTCCAGACTTCTGCGCGTGGGCCTTGCCACTTTGCCAGGAGCTTGCTCTCGGTGTTGTGCGGAAGGAGGAGCGCCCTATTCACCTKCTGAAACTCTCCAGCATCTTTATTGAACGCTCTGCCCGGGGTCTACAGGCCCCGGGGGTCAGATTTCCGCCTATAAATCACCCAACCAGGTCTAGTCGCTCCCACATTTTAGAGCCTGTTGTAGCATGCTGGCCCTCGGTTCAGTCAGACTTCCTCCTGGTAGTCTTTGAGACCAAGGAGGCCTCTGGGTTTTTTGTTTCCTGTTTTTTGGTGATATTTCACATGGTAGAAAATTCCATAYAGGCTTGAGGAACTTTCCTCCTTGGAGAAACTAGGGAAGGCGCAATTTTATGCTTTTGTTTAAATCTCAGGCAACGTGAGAAACATGGATTTTAATCCTACATTGGAAACACTTTTTTGAGATTTCCCTTGGCAGGGGTTGCTTCAGATGTTTATCTGGAATCCTAAGAACTGTAACTTTCAAACCTTCAGAAAAGGACACAAATCAGAGGCAGCCCTCAGAGGTCGTGTAATGTTAATGATCAACTCCTAAGAAGACAAGGCCAGAAATAAGAATATTGGGAGTCTGGTCCCTCCTGGCAAGGGCTGAGTTCTTGGGGCTGGACAAGCCATCTTCAGCTGGTTGTCGGGGTCTGTTCCAGCACAGGGACGCTCTAGAAACCTCCCTCTCTCTTTCACACTGGCACCTTGTGTAGGTTACAGACTCTCTTATCAAGTTGAGATTTAAAAAAAAAAAAAAAGTAGATAAGCACAATGTATGGTGTACTAGTGAGATCTGAGATGTTTTTATTTGAAAGTGATAAATGGTCAACTCTTCATTACTCAAAGATAACCTATGCCCATTCTGAGTGTAGTATAAGAAGTATTTTAATCCAAGGCCATCTTCCTGCCTCCCCTTTTCCTGCTGTGACCTGGTTTCCAGGCTGTCTTTCCACTTGAGTGCTTGRTCTCAGGAAAAGCTCATCCATTCTTAACCCTCTGCTTAAAATAAAAGGAGGCAGTAAAAATATTCTCTGGGGAGTAAAGTTGTTATTGAAACCAGTCTCTGTTGGTGCTCTATAGGGAGAGGAGCACATGGTACAATCTTGTCCTCCAAGATCAAAAAGCTCATACATTATCTAGAGGAATAAACCAACCTATAAGAACAATTAGCAATACAATACTGTGTGAAAGTCCCCAAGTGTATATATGTACACATAGAAGACTTCAAAGAGGAGAAATCATTGGATAAGGATTCAGGGAAGAATAGGGCTTAGGGAGGATCTTGAGCCTTGGGTAGAATTTTCCTTGGGAAAAGGAGAATATGAGAGGCAGACCTGAGAAATACTATGGATGATGAGAAACGTTCTGGACAATACATATTTTTAGATAGCTAGGCAAAAGGCACAAGCTGATTGTTCTTATAAGACTTTGTGTTTAAATTCTAATACTAAAATAATTTGAATCCTTAATGAGTTCTATTTTCCCCCCAAATTGTCATCCTCATGAAACTTGTCAAGGCTTCCTGACTCAGCAGGATCAAGTTCAGGTTGTAGCGTGCAGGAGAAAGTCTTGGGCTGCACCATCTGACTGTCAGATGCAGGTCTGGATGCCTCTGAGCGGGTCTTAATGAAACATCACASGTCTCAGGATGGCYSACATAAAGTATATTGCTGTCCAAGYAGACTTTCCACAYGCTTTCTCTTAAGGTGTTGCTAAATCTTAATTGGTTATTRAGAATTTTTACTATGCTATTTCAGGAGGAATTTCCCATGGTTTTGTTATTAGAAATTTCTAGACTAATATTCTCTATCCTTCTAAGGAATTTRGAGTTGAAAACCTAAAGAATCTGAAGATGGGCTCAGAGATGAGAAGTTAGACCATTTCCCTTGATTGCACGGAGCAGGGGGTGATTGTGTCTATCCTCAAAGAAGGAGTCCTTAGCACTGCAGAGTAAAAAAAGAAAGAAATGGCAGAAATTAAACTGAATGAGTTATTTAGCTTAAATTCAAAAGATAATTTACAAATAACAGTTTATTAAAAATATAGTTWAAAGGTGAAGAAGAAAGCATAATGTCATTTGCCTGTTGTTGTGGACAGGGTCAATGTCCTCTTAAAGATTGTGTTGATGTGGTCTAAGAAACTTATAGGATGCATGGAGTTCTTCGGTTCTAGGGTGCTTGGATTGGAGAGAAGAACAACTCTTGAAATTGACCTCTCTGGGCTCCCTGTCTTCAGTCATTGCTGGCCCAAGAGAATGCTCTCTGTATCGTAGTTCAGCTGGTATCTTTATAAATGTCTGTCTCTGAAGTGGGGAAAGGGGGCTGCCATCCTCACAGCTTATATTTTTGTGGAGTAACTGTCTAGTCCTATCCTTGAGCCAGCACTAGAAAGCATTAGAGTATTGCATATGTACATGCACAGTTGGTTCATTCTTTTGTTTATTTTTTTGTAGTTGCAGATGGACAGAATGCCTTTATTTATTTATTTTTATGTGATGCTGAGGATCGAATGCAGTGCCTCACACATGCTAGGCAAGGGCTCTGCCACTGAGCTGCAGCCCCAGCAGGTGGTTCATTCTTAATGGCTTCATTGCCTGGCTTCTTGGGTTGGGAAAGGAGATGGGAGTCAGTTCTCATGCTTTGGAAATACAGAGGGGAAGGACATCAACTCCCCAGACAGTGGCCGTGAAGGACTGTCTGGAAACTAGAAGTGCAGGAACCACCGCAGGAGCAGACTCTTCCAGGGGCATGGTGGGGAGAAGCCAGGGGTGACCACTGCACTGGGCATTGTGGTCATACTTCTTTGAGTGGCTGCTTATTTTTTATTAACCAGCGCTTAAATGCTGGCATTCTTGTTTTTACAATGCCTGTTTTCAACACTGACACTGTTTCGAGCTTAAAAGGAACACTAGGTATTTTCATTACATAGAGTGGACACCTGCAGACCTGCTGTTAAAATAAAAAAAATACAAAAGGAGGTCAAATTAAATGAACTTTGTGGTGGCATTTCTAGTTTTCTTAAACTGAGTTTTCGTTTGTGTTGCTTTGTGTTCAGTGATCACTGATCCTCAAACTTCAAAGTCCTACTTACTATCTAAGTTTTGTTTTAATATGTTGGTTAGAACATTATGTTTTTATACTTAATCTTTCTCTGTAGGAACAATCCCAGGTGTACTTATTGTTTCCATGTTTGCCTTCCAGGTGCCAGGATTGCCGAGTATTCCCAACTGTATGACCAGATTGTCTTCAGGGAGACGCCCCTTAAAATTCAGAAGGATGGCTGGGCCAGCACACAGGAACCGTCCCTCCTCAGGGCTGCCTCACCTTCCCAGGGCCAACATGGTGGCGAGGATTGGCTCTTGCATTCAAYTTATAGTAATGGAGAGTTAGCAGATTTCTGTCCCCGGCCAGAGCAAGACTTGAGGTCAAAGTATCCCACTTTAGATATTGGTACCAAAAGTACCCCAAGACAGTTGTCTGCAGCTTGCTCTGTGCCTTCTCTTCCAATCTCTGACCCTCTCCTGGGCTCCATGCAGAGATGCAGTGTGGTAGTAAGTCAGCCCCACAAAGAGAACTCATGTCAGGGCCATCTTTACAACTCACTGGGTCGGAAAGGAATCAGTGCTAAATCCCAGCCTTACAACAGGTCCCAGTCGTCTTCCTCCATCTTGATAAACAAATCAATGGACTCCATCAATTACCCCAGCGAGATGGGAAAGAAACAGCTGCTGTCCTTACGCCAAAGTGCACGGTGTGAGAGCCACCAGGATTTGCTGCCAGGTACAGCTGATTCATGTCAGCAGGGTGCCRAAACATGCTCTGACCTCACACTCCAAGACTCACAGAAAGTTCTGGTAGTAAATAGAAATTTACCTTTAAACGCCCACCTAGCCACACAGAACTATTTTTCCAATTTCAAAGAGACTGAAGATGAAGATGACTATGTGGAAATAAAGTCTGAAGAAGACGAGGCAGAGCTGGAGCTACTGCAGAGTCGCAGAAGGAAATCTGACTCCAAGATGGCAGATGCCGACTTCTCTGATAACGTCTGCAGCAACAACCCACCTTACTCCTTGAATAGTCCATGCACTCCCAAAGAGCCCATAAACAGCAAACTTGGGCTTTCACCGTATCTGACAGCATATAGTGATTCTGACAAACTGAATGACTACCTTTGGAGGGGGCCGTCTCCCAATCAACAAAACATTGTCCAGTCTCTAAGGGAAAAATTTCAGTGTCTTAGTTCAAGTAGCTTTGCCTAAGGCTTCTCAGTAATAGCTGCCTGAATTAACTTCCTCTTACACTCATCAATCACAGATGCTGATAGGTTTTGTATGTATCAGATTAAAACAATTTTGTAATAACCAGAGGTGTAAAATATACTTTCTTTTACAGCACAACTTTTTGAGCCGGCTGACCCTACAGCCAGGATTATACTTTAGTGAGTGTCAGCATTGAATAATATCTTCTTCTCAGATGCTGATTGTCTTCACTTTCATGTAAGTCARTCTTACTTGAAATTTTTTAGGCTTTTTGGGTAACATATTTTTTCCATATCCTGACAACTGTGCCCACACTTTAAGAAATGCAGTGACCCTCTCAAAACCTACAACACAAAGGCAGCAAGGAGACTTTTTCATATTTTGAAAGAAAGGAACTATAAGGCTGTTTTAAAGAATTATGCTTGTAGCTGACATTTTGTTACAGTTGCGACGAGACCCTGGAATAACTTACACCAGAGATCTCTAGTTAGAACCCAGTCGTGATGCCTATTTTAGGATTTCCATGCTGGCATTCCTGTGTCATTTCATTTCGACTCAGAAATTGTGTGACCATTGAAAACTCAAATGTAGAAGGACCAATTCACTGTAAGTAAAAGCCTCTACCTGTATTCCTGGACAAGTCCTGATGAATGTGCTGCTGATCATGTTAATGATACGACTTCTGGGATGAAATGAATGATTTCCTTCATGGCTTAAAGAAAACAAATTCACTAAAGCRTAAACTAACTCACTGTTAGAAAGATGGAAAGACTCAGGGGGAACAACTTGGTTATCCATTCATATTACAGTTGAAGTGGGGACAGTTTGACCAAAAAAAACTTATGATGCCATTGTGTGTGCCTAACTCTGATTAGGGAGAAGTAAACCATAAGCTAAAAATCAGACAAAGCACATTAAAATCACCCTTCCAGAGCATTGTTCCATAGGCACCTTCTTGAGTTTTTACTCTGCCAGTGACCTGCTAGATCCTACCCCAAGGAGTCATTGCTAAAGGAAAGGGCAAGAACTTATATTCTAAACAATACATAACATGTTTTCATTATTTCACRGCATATGAAAGAACAGTCTTTGGTTACTGGGTTCTGGATAATAACATCTTTTATGCTATAATTGTGCTTTATGAAGCATTTCATTATGATATTAAATACAAATTTAACTCCTTATGGAAGAAACAGAACACCAAAAGCATCACATTGTAAATAAAAAGCAAAATCAAAGAAGGTTGAGATAAATGAAGGCCGATTTATTGGTACTTTATAAAAATATTTTATTTTCTTGATTGCATGAATGCAATGAGAATATTTCCTTGCAGTGCCCTTTGTAGTCTCAATTTCAGCAGTTATACATTCTGTGGCCTTTCTTCACCCTCTGTTTCCTTTATAATTTTATTTTCTCTTTATTTTAATTAAAAGCCAGTCATTTCCATTTTAAAAGATACACTGATATGTGTGTATGTGGCCTTTGCACTTGAAGGAAAGCCCTAATTAAATCAGTGACATCTTCCCATAACTCTTTTCCTCTTTTTAAGTCCTATCTCTGTTAACTTAAAACATAAAATGTAAACATCCTCATTTTATAAATAAGTACCTAGGGCATTT